TGTCCATGCTGGCCATGCTGACCATGCTGGCCATGCTGACTATGCTGGCCATGCTGGCCATGCTGGCCATGCTGTCCATGTTGGCCATGCTGGCCATGCTGACTATGCTGAGCATGTTGCCCATGCTGAGCATGCTGTGAATGCTGAGCATGCTGTGCGTGTTGTGTGTGTTGTGCATGTTGTCCATGTTGTCCATGAGGGGGCTGATAATTCTGTTGCGTAGGATTTTCTGAAACCGCAGGACGTTGACGAAGGCTGGAGTATCGCTTTGGTCTATTACCAGAGCTGTCTTGTTGTTGTTGTTGTTGTTGTTGCTGTTGTTGTTGTTGTTGATGTTGTTGTTGATTTTGTTGTTGTTGTTGTTGTTGAACTGTTTGTTGCGATTGGTGTCCTTGTTGCGATTGCGTTGGATGAGATTGCTGTTGTTGCATTCTTGGAGGCACAGTGTTAGCTCTTTGTTGACCAGAAGATTGTGCATAATAATTTTCTGAGAAAAAAAATGTCTTTTAAATAAAATTCGAACGATTTATTCAGTTGTTGATTCCTCGTTAATAAAATGTCAACTTACTATTATGTTTACCACTTTGATGATATTGCGCGCCATCGTTGATGTGAATATTTTTCATGTCGTGCGTAATTTGATTATCATCGTCGTGTTGTATCGTATTATTACGTCTATTATCAGAATTAATTGGTCCAGCTCCTCTTCCTTTAGGTTTTGTTTCAATAATTTTATTGCTCAACATATTGTTATTGGCGTTAGCCTTAAATCCTCTTCCACGAGCTCTGTTTGTTCCGAAATTAGTCGAATCTTGTATGTTTCGTTTGTTACTCTCTCTTGATAAAGTTTTAGTTTCAAAAGATTTTTCCGCATCTCCGTTAGATCCATTGTTTCCATTGGAATTTTGATTGTGTGCTCCATGTTTACCCTCTTTTTTCCAAGCCGGATTATTGGACTCGTTTGGAACTTTGTTTTCATTTCTGCGTGTAATAATTTGGAAATTAAAATATTTACACAAACTAAATATCATTAACAACGATAGTTGGTTAATTTTAATTTTCTTACGTTTGGCCAACAGATGCTCCAGAAGGTTTGGTTTTTTGCATGTCATGCTGTGATTGTAAGGGTGGAAAATTTTGGGTTTTATTTATAGTCTTACTTTTACTATTATACCAGGCTGATGATATTACCGGTTCCTCAACAGTTGTAGAGGAATTCTATAATAATCAAAATTGTACAAATATATAATATTCTTTAAATGTAAAACTAAGTAATTTGAAAATATGCATTAATCGAAAGGATTAAATAACAAATAGCTGTATAAACAATTTGCTGTAGACGCTAATGATTTTTAATATCAAAGGAAAAAGAAAAAATAGAAATGAATTGAGATTAACATTAAATGCTGGCCAATTCATCAATATCAGCAATTATAATTAAGTAAATAAGCCAACAATTCTAACTATGCGTAATAACGATTAGATCTAATCTCTAATCTAACGCATGCATTGTAATGTTTAGAATATAAAAAATATATTTTGACATAAAATAACTTTACCTTATTAGTACCGAGTGCAGGAAAATCTTCTCCACTTCTACTGAACTTTTTATTATTGCTTTTAGATGTTGTATTGTTACCAGTTTTACCATAAGCATCTTCGTCTTCCCAATTACGTGTATATTTATTTGGTCCACGTCTGTGTAAATAAAAGCATCAAAATGAAATGTGAATCAAAATGATATTTATATAAATATCAAATATAATGATTTACTAATTAAAATGCAGCCTTTACCCATATCTTCTTCTCCTTCTAGCTCTAGGTGGACCTTCCTCATTCCTAATATCATAACCATAAACTGCTATTAATTCTTCGTGACTTTTAGGAGCTTGTTCTTCGTGGTTGTATCTATCATGATCCCATCTATCTTCTTTATCTTTCCATACTTTCTTTTCTTTAGTTTCTCTTTCATTAGTAGTTTCAGTACTAGTTTCTGTAACTTCATCCGTAGTTCTATCATCATGTTCATAAAATGTTCCACGTTTTGGTATATATTGAGGATTTCGTCTATCTTCATCATCATCTAATTTTTTTTGTGGTTTCTCTTCCTCTTGTCCATCTCCACTTTCTCGCAATACACCTTCTTGCGATTCAGCATCGGAATCTGTCACGTAAACATCACATTCTGAATCCTGATGACCATCAGTCTGTTCACTACTCTGTAAAATTCAAACAATTAATACAAATATAAATAAATTATAAATTATAAATTATATTAAAAATAAATAAATTATAACAACAAAATTATACTAGACTTTTAATAAATCATTTTATAAGAATTAAACAATTTTCCTAGAACTTTTCTGGTAACAAGATAACCGTAAAATTAGCGTAACAAGATAATCAACTATAATAAAATAACTAATAGAATTAGAGCATCGAATTGTAACAAGTAAATGTAAATTTAGTACCAAACTGTCGACCTCATTTTTTTTCCTATCAATAAATTGGAACAAAATAACGTGAAAAAAAAAATGGTGAAAAAAATCGTAGCACGTTAATTGGATATACTCACTTGCGTTTCTTTAGTGGCGTTCAACTCTTCGTAAGAATCGGAGAGATCGTCTGAATTACAGGACTGATTGGATTTTCTACGACGTCTCGTATCAGACATGTTATTTAGATTGTAGCCACGCAAGTCCTACAAAATTTTTCACGTCCCTAATACTATTTTTTTTTTTTTTTTTTTTCGATATTTCCTTTCGTAACGAACAATCGCGTTGAACGAATAAGAAAAAATAATGGAAAGAAAAAATCCAACTCTTCGCTTATCGTATTGTCTTCTCGATACTATTAAGAAATTCTATAAAAAAAAAAAAACTTCTCTTAACTATTCAACCGATCTAAGTACACTAATTAAGAAGGCACACCATCCTAAGATTTTGTCTTCACTGAATATAACCAAAGAATACAGAAGTACATAGAAGCTCACAAGTCTACTTTTTGTGTAACCAAAATCATTTTAGTTAGCACCGGGACCGCTAGTAGGCAATAGTAGGTACTTAACGCGATAACAGTACAACTATCAAAGAAAGAGACAATACTATCAAAGAATACAGTATTAACTAACTAAAATTTGTTTGGTTACACGAAAAGTGGACTTACGAGCTTCTATGTACTTCTGTTTACTCTTTAAATAAGGTTTCCGTTAAATCGTTTTCAGCATGGAGATAAAGAATAAAAAGAATGATCGCAGTGTATAAAAGTATCCCCAAAATATAAAACAAATAAAGTTTTATTCCAGGGTGCGCTATAGCTGCTTAGTACATCACATGTATGTTTAGAAATACACAATGCTCAACGGTTTTCTGTGACGTCTCTAGGATCGAGTTGATCACCATGCCGCTCTAATGGCAGAAATAAGTATTGGTATTATGTTACTTTTTTAGGGGACACAATTTATGACAAATTACCTATAGCGATCGTTCTCCTTATTCTCTATCTCCGTGGTTTTAGATTACACGACAGCAAAAATGGCGGGGCACTGTTATATTGAGAAAACTAGAGAAAACTTTTACGAAAATCAAGTCTGAAACCGTAAAAATAAAATATATATTATCAAGAATTTATAAATAATTCAAATCGGCATTAATTTATTGTTTCCAAGTATATTGATGATTTCTTAAGAGATTTTTTCCTAATTATTATTTGTGCTGGAATTATTGTTTCAATTTATCTTTGAATTATTTTTGCGCCAATTTCTATAATTCGTGGAAAATTAACATCACCAATCTATCACAAGTTAGTATGTGGACCTATCGAATAGAACAATAATCCTAGGGAATTAGATCTGGTTATTCGATAAGTATGTTCTTTTTTTTAATAATTTCGAGATATTTTTGTGCAAAAGTAAGATTTTTTCCATAGAGTTTAGTAGTATTGTTTATAAGTGTAGATTTTTTCATTAATTATTACTTTGATTTTTTAAATGAATCTTACAACCTCATATCAGTCGTCATGAATGGTGTCGTTTGAAACTATTTTCTTGATATTTTTAAGATCATTTTAAGCTATCAGAATAAATTTCATAAATTTTCTTTTTAATTTCAGCTTCTCCACACGGAATATGATAAAACAATAATATTAATTGATCAAAATGTGGAGGTATTATTACATTTACATTGTATTGAACGTTATACCTGATTTCATATCGAGCCAAGGAGTTAAATGTTTCGATGATACTGTTTTATTTCAAATTAATTGGCCAGAGAAAAGTGATACTCAACCATTAGTGAGTACAATAAGAAGAATATCTATAAAATATGTATGAAAATATTGTTTAATTGACTGTTTATTCGAAGGATACTCCAAACAATGTTGAGTTCTATCCTATAACAAGTGCAAACAATGAACAATATGTATGTTCGATACCTGACACAATAGAGCAAGATCATAACAATGCTCAAGTATCTAAAGGAGCTAATCCGATAGAAATGTTGTCAATATTATTTATTCAAAAAACATGTTCCTATAGAGTAAGTAATTATTTATAAAATAACAATACAATGTACATATATGCGATAAGTTACTCTGGATATAACAAAACATGTGGGTGTTGATTGTACAGCTAAAAATAATGTAACAAATTCATATCAAACATACGCTCTTTATCTATTTTCATTTATGAGATTTAATTTCCTCCAAGCAGTCGATGTTCAGGTTCAATTCTCAACTATTGGAGGATTTTGTCAACGGCATCGCTTTGTTAAAAAAAAAAAACTATTTCCTATTAGATCACTAAAATTAAATAATAATATGATTATAAAAACTTTGAATAAGGTTCTTCATCTCGTAACCAGAAGAATAATTAAGATAAAGCATACGTTTATATGAATCTTTTTCATTAGTTTTAGATGTATATTAACTCTCAAAGTATGTTCCACAAATTTTCTACATATATTTTAGATTATATATTAAAAGTAATAATATTTTATATTATTTATTTTGTTAAATAGTTAGAATCGTATTGGACGTATGAATTATGTCATGGTCGTTTTGTACGCCAATATCATGAAGATAGGGAAGGGAAAAAAGTTAAAACTCAGGAATATTATCTTGGTACTTTTGACATATCTCAAAAATTCAAACTTTCTGTCGAATATGATAAAATGATTAAAAAGTCGGATATACCGGTGAAAAACATTGATGGCATTAATATGCCGTATGTTGAAATTAAAATGGAAGATGGTACGTTATGCGACCTAAACAACAAACCAAGAATGATAAGAGTTCTATACGTGTGTTATCATCTGGGGAAAAATGAAATATTTTCATTGAAAGAAACATCAAGTTGCGAATACGAAGCCATTATTTTAACACCTTTTCTATGTTTTCACCCCGACTATGAACCACAAGATTCAAAAGAAAACAAAATTGAATGTCGTCCTGTTGATTCTACGCCACAAAAACCTAGAGCACTTGTTGCTATGGAAACGGAAAGTGCTAAACTTCGAAATCAAAAAGTAGCGGTAAAATGAATTCCATTAATTTATTTATAAATATCCAAATCAAAATCAGCTTATTTCTAAATGTGTTATTTTTTATAAAGACGTAAAAGGCTTTTATACATAGCGCATGATATATACACAAAAAATCTTATAATTAAATTTAAAAATTAATTTTAATTAACACGTTGACTGCCGCGCGCTTTTCACGTGATTTGCCTGCCATGCCTGCACAAATTTTTTATTATGAGATGTATATTTTGTTCAATGTTTTCTTACAGCTGATAAAGAGAGTTGTATAATTGTGTTTAATGCATTATTTATGATGAGGTCACCGGTGACTCCCCTGAGGCGCTGTTGATCATTTTTGTCATTATTAGTTGTTCCAAACTGTCCAAAAATACTAGTAGATTATAATTTATGAAAATCTATAGTTGATTTGTCTGATCAAATGACTGCTTATAAGTTCATTAGTAAAAAAGAACTATAAAATGTTGTAGGAAATTGGCAATAGAGCTTTTATTGATTACTTGTGTTACAAGCAAGTAACTTACAAAATATTTTAATTTGCGATTTATTCAGTGAAATATTCTGATGATGAAGATTGCATTCCACCAAGAAATTACGTACAGACAAAATATTGCTACGTATCATGCATATTTTTCTTGTAATTATACAATTATTTTTACATGTTCTGTATGTCATTATTTTCTTCAAAATCTTATAAAAAAAATGGAATTATTTAAAAATTGATCAATATCGATAGTATATTTACTCTAATTATGTATAAAAATACGTAAAAGTATTGGTTGTGTTGAGGTCACCAGGACCTACACGGCAGTCAACGTATTAAGCATCACTGAGTTATACGAAAGAGCATGTTGCCAATTTCTATGAAATCGTTCATAATTTAGACCACGTAAAAGTATAAAAATGACTAATTATTTCTATCTTTTAAAAATCTTTAGTTTTGGAAACTACTTCTCCTCTCTCTTTATCAGATAGCTCATCTCTAGGAGCTAAACTAATAATTCATTTATTTTTAAGTTGATTTATTATTTATATAATGAATTGGTTATTTCTTACACAGGATAAGCTGCAGAAAATCTATGCGATCTTCCATGTAGATAAGGAGGGCCAGGTCAGAAAATTTACATTTTTGGGAAACAGGCTTAGTGCTTTATGCCCGTTGTTACGTAATGTCATGGGCTTGTGCTAACATCTTATTCACTCTGCCCCTTCTTCATCTACATACTTTATTTCTTGATTATACAATTTCTTTAAATACTAATTCATATACTAAATTTTAATTTATATTTATTAATATAATTACGGAATAATCTTTTATTTTAAATGCTTATATAATTTACCTATGTCTAAGTTTATTCTATTAGAGTAAGAGCCCACGACGGCCAGACCTTCGTTATTTTATAAAAGCTGAAAGTTTTTCTGTGCATGTCCCCTATACAGGTAAGAACGACCAGCGACTATAGAGTTTGGGTTGTGGTTACTTGGGCAGGTAACAGGTAGTAAATGTGTATAAAATAGTACCTTATAAATCCGTTAAAGTATAAAGCTCAATTTTTTTATATTTTCTTCGGGATAATTTTAGAAATCTCGTCATCTATTGCCGGACAACCCAAACTCTATAGTCGCTGGTCGTTCTTACCTGCATAAGGGACATGCACAGAAAAACTTTCAGTTTTTATAAAATAACGAAGGTCTGGCCGTCGTGGGCTCTTGGGCTATATTGTATTAACTTCTTGCACACTACGATTTGACGCATCATGTCACTGTATGCTAAAGTTGGTGCTATATTTCGCACTTCTTATATCTTACCACTCAAAATTAACCACCAGCAGGACTCATATTTCTTACGTTTGGACCAAAAAGTGTATGAAGAGTCCTACATATTAGATATAGTGCTTATTAATGTGATTATAGATATCACATTAATATATAACACAGTATCATAAATTCCCGTATTTTGATTAATCTTACACACTTAAAATAATTTTTTTAACCAGTTAAGCGTGACGATCTCTGCGCAGAGCGCGCTCCGGTGTGTGTCGCGATAATCAAGCGATGACGGATATAGTCGTCGAACACTAAGTAGTGTTGTGGCGCTGTTGAAATATTGGGTCAAAAAGACGATTTTATTTTAGAAAATGAACAATTTTGTTAGTAATGTACACACAGTCTCTTAATATGAACATATATTTATACATAATAAACGGAAAAATTAGAGAAAAAAATCGAATATTTATAGAAGTTACAAATTTAAACTGTTGTGTGTCGTGTGATATTCACGAAAACAAGGAACAACGCATATGGCACTTTCCATGTCAGACACCAATACCGCGATTTTTTTCTAATCTTTTTTTTATAACAAACAGCGCATCTTCGCGAAGGATAATCAAAGATCCAGTGTTACTGCACTGTTTAAGAGTTAGCTCTCAGGAAGTTATAAATCCAACTCAAATTATTTATAATTTTTATTTGCTTGTTTCATTTCGTCTTGACCTCTAAACGTTTTAAACATATTAAAATTTACAAATATAATTCAGTTTTCGCCAAAATTACAATTTAAACATCAAATTGTAACAAACTTTTACGCATGACGGATATAGTCGTAAAACACGCTTAACTGGTTAATTGAAGCATAAATTCGCTATGCATATAGTCAATAGATCAATTATTTAACTTTGATTTCGATATATACATCGACCCCATTTAAAATTCGTGTTTATAATATATGTATACAATTTATTCCAGGAAGGCGATGGTCGTGTAAGGGTTGAAATACGTTCAGTTGATATTGTCGATAAACACAACGGCGCGGAAGATTCCGTCAATTTGCTAATAGACCAAAATGTAACTCCTGCTGAAAGTAATTCAGTTCAAAGCTTCCTTAGTGGGAAAAATTGCTTACATGGAGTAAGTGATGTCTTTGTGTTATATATTTTTATTGAAACATTACAATATTTGATTGTAATTAACAGGGAAACGGTTGGTGGAAATATGAATTCTGTTTTGGACGTTCTATAGTCCAATATCATATAGAAAAAGATGGCAGTAAAACTATCGTCAGTCTTGGTAAATTTAATAAGGAAAAACATTTGGAATGGATCACCGCTCATCCTAATAAAAAACCGGAACCTCAGGAAACGCGTAAACATTTGTCACATTTTTATAGTGACGGAAGTATTTGCGATAAAACTGGCCAGTTACGACAAACCGAAGTATTCAATTTTAAAGTTTTAGTAACAAATAATATAATTTTAATGAAACATTAGTTATTAATAATTAAATTATTTTTTCAGGTTAAATTAAAATGCGTTGAAAACCGAATGGGTAGTCCATCCAGTATATCATTATTCTTATTAGAACCAAAAACGTGTAAATACGTATTAAAAGTTGAATCCCCATTGATCTGTGATATTTTAGAATATGCCGATGAAAATGGTCTATTGAGTGAAAAATTCGAGGCTGATTTTTCTAAATTAAAAATAACAGCTCTTCATATAGAGCAGGAAGATGATTTAGATGAAAGAATAGCCAACGGGGATGATTAATAAATGATTAGATTCTTTTGTAATTTATTTTCAATAAGCAAATAGGGAAAGTACAATTAACAGTAATTTATAATAAAATTAATAATATTACCGATTGTACATTTCTTATATAAAATTTATGTAAAATTTTATAAACATAAATTAAATGAGCTACAGTGTATATATTTTATAATTATTATACAATAGTATAACTTATTGTTTGTTGTGTTTTACCAAACGGAAAATAAAAATAGTTTTTTTTTTTCAAAACATATATTAGAGACACACAAATATTAATTTGAGGTTCATATAATAAAGTGTATCAAAATAATAATATTATCAATTTACATTATCCTAAAGTAATAAAATCTCATATTGACAGGTATCTGTATTAAATATTGTTATATTATTTGTGGAAGATATAATACGAAAACAAAATATTGTACGATTGATTAACAATAATTATACACCAATATTAAGACCCACACCCACGCGAAATTGTTGATTCGCATGATTCAATAGTCCGCTAATAATTAATGACGATTCCGAAATTGGATATAATTTTTTCTCGAATACGCAACCAATACTACTTTCGGAATTAACAATCCCTCTGAAAATGAGATCAGCGTATGGTATATTGATTTGATATACAATAGTAGCAATTGATTCGTGAATCCTCATGTTAGTTTCTATCTCAACGCCAAGTTGCAGTTGTTGACTTGCTCTTCTATAATAACAAATATGAATACCAGCTTCTCCTAAAGTAGCAGACCATGTGGCATGTCCTATGTTGTATCTGAACGCTACACACATTAAAGTCTGTTGACCGGACGAAAATTTGGAACCTCTGAGACAAGCTATTTCTGCACCTAATGTAATCCTAGATGTAATTGCTTGTAAAAAATGTAATACAATAGTTCCTTGCTGTTTGATAAAATTAGGATTAGCTAATGTTAATGCCACCGTGTAATCGTTAGACCGATATTCTATAGAGGAACTGGAAGCCTTGTATTTGCAATTAGCAACTTGTGTAAACAACTTGAATCTAAATCTACATCCAAGCGTATGTACAAAATTAGCCGTCATATTTCCATTAGGAATAATATCACCTTTAACAATTGGATATTTCTCGTGCAAACCAACTGCCTTAATTCCAATGTAAGATGCGCCAAATTTGTATCCCGAAGGAGTCACAGAACTCAACGTTATCGCGTGGGTTACATTGAAATGGGAACTGAGAACTTTCTGAACTAATAATCTTGCGCCTTCAAAATTTTGAGGATAAAGATCCTTCACTTTTTTATGAAGTTCTTCGAAACTTCCTGGATTACCAGGTTTCTTGTCTTCTTTATTTGGGCATGGTACGCAATCAGGAATTTCTGTTGTTTCAGAAATTAAATAAACATCTTGTTCTTTATTTGCAGACGTATGTTTGATACCCATTATGCTTAAAAGAAATAGCTCTTTCAGAAAATTTTGCTTAAATTTGGATAAATTCGACATTTGTCGAAATATTTATACATTTTTCCGAGTAGAAATGGAATAAAATAAAAGTAGAAATAATTCAAATATAATTCTACCTTTTGATAGTTTGAAAATTAAACAAGATGACACTAGTAGTAAAAGAACATTTGAAATTTACCGCTTATTGTAAGAGGGATAACAAAAAAAGAACCAATGGGACGGATGCGCAGTAGAGAAATTTAATATTTTATGATATAGTCAACAGATGGCTCTGCTAAATCATCGTATACTTGAATTTCTCGCTATTACTCCGAAATGGTATCTTTCCTTTATATACAACAAATAGAACCACAATCCACGGAAGTGTGTGCTTGTGATGGCACAGCTGAACATTGATCGCTGAACGAAGTCGGAGGTGTTGGTGGCAGATCTGCTCAGTGGGTGTTGTCACGTGGTCGCTTCAAGTAGCTTGTGTTGGATTCCCGATTGCGCGTGCTTGTTCGTGGCTTGTGATTCTCACAACCTCGGATACGCACGCCTGCACGGTTGAGTCTTCACGTCGCTCCTCGAACTACCGCGATTTCCAAATATTTACCTGTAAAATTAGTAAAAC